TCTCGCACATAGCCCAGCCACTGTTAACCATTGGTCAAAAATCGCAGGCGCTCACTTCAAAGATCTCGAGTTATCCTCCAAGAACCGGGAGTTAGTCATTCTTCTCAGCACAGCAAAGTTCCGGTCCAGCTACGAGTGGACGCATCACAGCACAGTCTCCGCCAAGGAGGGTGTCACTGACGCCCAGCGCGAAGTGATTGCCCAGGCTGGAAGACAGAAGGGATACTTCTCTTCTCAAGGGAAACTAGAATCTCTTGCAGAATTGTTCACGTCAAAGGAAAAAGCCCTCCTATTGTTTATCGAGGCCGTTATTGACGGGCCAGAGGTTGCGGATGAGCTATGGACGAAAGCCAAGACTGAGTTTTCTGACCGAGAAGTCGTGGAAATGATTACTCTGCAGGTTAGTTTCCCTGTAGAAGTCCCGAAGTCTGAGCGCTAACGCAATCAGGGTTTCTACTACACCTTTTCACGCCTCACAACCGTCTTGAATGTAGAATTGGAGCCCTTCGCCAAGCCATCTAAGCTTTGAGAGAGGCGTCTCGGGATCCCATTTTGGTCGTGATGGTGATTCGACGACATTGGGGAAGCACTGCGGGAGGACATGTATCCGTGCAACATCCGTCACAGAATGCTGATCGCGGCTTGGCGGTCTGTATGACCCAGTGCAGTCACTTGCTCTTCCTTGACAATGGCCTGTAAGCTGTATTCTGTAGTCTGTAGCAAAACAGCTGTTTGTGGCCAGACATCAAGATCGATCTCACAGCGAACGAAATATGGTTCAAATGTTTTTCTAATCTCTTTTATATTATTAGAGTGTACTAAAACGTACCGATACATCCCCAATAATTAGAAATGGCCAGCACTTGATCGGATCATCCGAGTCGGCACACAGCCCCTATTCGTCTCGTGAATCTTTCATGATCATTGACTCTTTCTCCTGCTTCCTCAATTCTCCTCAAAGTTTCATGGGATATTACACCCACAGCCTCTATCGCTGATTAAAGGCAATTATGCGGTGGAAGCGTTGAAGTCGAGGGCGGTAGATGCGTTGCCAGCCTCGGCCTCGTCCTGGGCAATGTTGTTGTTGAGCTTCTTCTGCTCGGCGGCCATCTTATCGGCGACGTCCTCGCCCTGGGCCGCCTGAGCCTGCAGCTTCAGCATGGTGGCGGTAAGCTTGAGGACCTTGTTCTTGATCTTGCCGCGCTGGAGGGCGTCGGCCTCCTCTCCGGTGGCAGCCTCAATGGCGGGGTTGAAGGCCTCCTTCTCGGCATCGTTGGCAATGGAGTTGACGCTGTTGAGGAAGTCCAGATCGGCCTTAGCGACGGTGCTGAGGTCGGTGGGGAGACCAGAGAGCTTGTCGAGAGCCTCCTGCTTGGCGGTACCGGCAGTGCCGCCGCTGATGGAGAGGTCGTTGAAGGTCTGAGTGGAGAAGACGGTGGCCTGGCGAGCGCCGAGAGGAGCGGCGGTAGCGAGGGCAGCGAAGCCGATAGTGATGACGGAAGAGAACTTCATATTGAAAGTCGAAAGATTGTTCTTAAAGCAAGAAGTCGATGTTGTGGAAGACGAAAAGAGGGACACGGACCCGGATGGATTGAAATGAGTGATCAAGATGCGTTGAAAGAGATAGAAGACAGCACAGCTGTTTTAGAAGAGAAGAAAGAACAGGCAAGGTTGTAATGATTGTGAGCGTGATGAGAAGAGGAAAGAAGAAGCGGCACTAAGAGGAAGATCGAGCTGATCTTTATAGAATATTTCAGACGATCTGTCAGTCCGTTCACATTAGGATATGGGTGATATTGGATCAATGCATTGGCATGTTTGTGTCTCCATATTACGCCATCCTCTTTTCTCCCTTGTCGTCGTTCTCGTGATATGTGCTCTAGACATGGCCCCTTGGCTCGAGTGCCCAGCTGTCGCAGTTGCAAAGAACTTCAGACCAGGGCCCAAAGTAGGTTGCATGCGGAGGTCAACATGGGATGACATGGGGCGTTCGAGACGGGGCGGGTTGAGACATCAACGTTACGAAGATTCTTGGTGATTTTCCGCAGTGATGGATATGATGGATTGTGGAAGCGATGGCGACTCCGCGTGGAAGGAGGTCTGAAGTTCGTGACGCATGGGTGCGATGAAGCTGCCAAGATGTTGCGGCTGCATCTCCTAGGCCTGATCGGGAAGCCACATTACGGCCGGATCTGGTGAGAGGCGACAGGGAAGCCCCTGAATGGACGCATCTCGTTACAACTCTGAGCCTCGTGAGTCGTGAGGCTCTATGAGGATGTTGAGGGGGACGGATTGGGATTGGTGAAGGAGGCGAGGATCAGTATCATCGACGCAAGCGGGCACTGGGTTGGGGGGCTTGAAAGATGGGTCTGGAGCGATGCAGCTGTTCGTCACCCCAACCAAGCCGGAGCTGTCTACCGAACTTCAAGACCATACGGTAAGCATCTGAACATGTGAGCCAGGGTCCTGGATCTTTCCATGTCGCCTCTTCATCGGACTCTGCGGTAGCTCACAAAGAATAGAGATTGTGCCCATGACGGCGGCAAAGCTCCGAGGAATTTGACCCCACCACCATCCCCAAGGAGAGTTTCACGACCCCCTGTATCTTACCGCCAAGCTTATTTTTCAGACGTTGAAGGCCAATTTTCGAACGGCAGCAGCTTTGGCCGTGCCCACTTATGTCGCGGCCCTCCTTTGACAACTTACTCTCCCAACAGAGGAAGACCGTTTGAAGGCGAACGTTGAGCATGAGGTTTGGGCAAAGTTGAATATGGGTCTTGACGCTCATCAACCAGGCTAAGATTCTGCTGGATGATCCCCTGGTGATCCCAAACACCGCGACCAAAAAAGGGTCTTGGAGTTCGATTGGGTCCCTGGTGGACTCGTCTTCATCTGAGGCTCTACCCATCGGATCTCGAACTCATCCCATCTCTTCGCCCGTGTCGCAAAACTTCTTTTGACGTCGGGAATGATGGTATGTCAAGTGTCACTGGCATGACTCTCAGCTCACAAGTCAAGCGGCCTGTGGTTATTGCATGAAGTCTGATTCCATTGATTGGACGAATACGAACTCTACCGAAGGTTTTCGGTCATACTCGATAGTTGAAGGACTAAGTTGCCTGCTCAACTGCTCTCACCTTGCATCTTAATGTTGGGCGCTGAGATCGTACGCACCAGCTCTTCGCGAGGGTTCACTGCAGACTAGCCTTAACAACAGATCCCCCCACGCCCGCTGTGAAAAACAAAGCAAATGCGCTAGACACTGACCCTCGTCAGCGCTGCTGGGCCCATTGGGCCTGAAACCGCTTCATCGCCCCCAGTCTCCCACTGTCACCCACTCAAGTTTAAGCGCTGCGGGGGTGGGTGACAGACGTATTTTTGGATCCATTTCCGGATTGGCATATGTGTCTCATTATTGTTTGATTCTTGAAAATTCTGGGCATGTTTGGATGTTGCGGTCAATTTGCAAGAGGCGAACGTCTGCCGTATTCGCTTCCATGTCAACCATGCCAATAATGGGCAGCTAATGGTCTAACCTTGGTCGCTGAGAGATGCTCGGTGTAATAATTTCAGGGATGGAAAGCAACATAACAAGACGAAGCGACCTAATCAAGCTTCGTTTGACAGGCCGCCTGTGGATGGAAATTGTGCAGGACAATTATTCCATCATTAGAATCGTCTCGATATTTTTGCGATGGCTGACCCCCGGCTGAGTATTCATTGTTAGACTCTCAATAATAGCCTTCCGCAGAGATGTGTGAGGCGCGAAGTCTCTTGTCATATTTGCAAATGGATCCACATGGTGTCAACGTAAAGACCTCTACCTGAGGCAGACTGCATCAAGCCCACAGACGGATGTCGTTATGGCTGAAGCCAATTTGGCGATTCAACTTTAATGTTTCTGACCGCGTCGTGAGTAACTATCGACGATGGAGATGGAGGATCGTGAATCGGCAGGTACCGACTATGTCTTGGCGATGCTGGGCGCGCTCCTCCTGGCAGCCTGGTTTCTCCCATTGGATGCCTCGGATCGTCTTGGCCAAGGTCTGAAATACACGACAGGCATATCGGGAGCACCCGTTCAGCATGCGATTCTATGCAGAATCATACTGACTAATGCAGCCAAGCCACGGCAGGCTGAAGGGGCAGGACTCGCTTGAAAGCAAGGTCTTTGGCGTTGGTATTGTGCGTTGGACTGACCACAGTCACATATAAGCTAAGAATTATGATTGCGAGATAGACTCGCTCAATTATCGATAAGTAAATTACTTCGTAAAACAGAGCGTTACGGTGATGATGCTGTGGGCACGCGGACTTTCTCGCCGGAGAAGGCCGAGAGCCGGACGCGATGGAATGGCCCCAACACCGGGCCGGGGCCGGAGTGGGGTTTACCAAGTCGGCCCCCAAGATACCTAATTCAGAAAACGCAGTGTGAGGGATGTAGAACGAGGCGACTTGAATGAGATGAAAAATAATGAATAAGTCGAAATCTTTAACGAAGAGAGACAGGCGCAGATTTCTAGAAGGAGAAATAGCAATATCTAAAACTTATCAGAACTTCGAAATGAGAGACACCATGTATTTTTATCCTTCTGAAGCATGAATTGCTAGATGACGGCGAGTTTCTCTCGGCTCCTCCAAAGGGTCAAAACACTACGCTCACGCATTCGCCCGGGCGAATCTCCAGGGACTCTTCAGTGAGAAGAGCTGCCAATGAGGGCCATTCCAGCAATAAGGCATTTGCCCTCGAACTAGATCCAGGCGCACCAACCATGGAGCGGTATATCTCCAAGCCTGGAGCTACTGCAACGCCCGCTCCTCAAGCCACCATTTGGCCCTAGTTACGCCACTTCTTGCCGGAGGACCGAGATCTCGCGCTTTCCCCGCTTGGTTGTCAGTAGGCGTACGATGACGGCAAAGACCGCATAATTAGTCTAGTCTCGGACTCTCAGTCGACGACAACTACATGCAAACCCAAGTAACAACACAGTACCACTCCAATGAGCGCCAGTCCCGAACAAGCGCCGCAAGACGGGCATCCGGCGCAATCTCCAGAGCAAGCACCAGATATTATTGAAGCTGGTGGCGATGCGAGCGACGATGAGTTCCAGCCTAGCGAGTGGGACGCTTCCTCATCGGGTTCGACCTCCATCACCTCGTCGGTCTTAAAGACATTCATATGAAGATGGCAGACGGTAAGTTTTGAATGCGTACCCATGGAACTTGGGTTCAATAGATGCATTTGGTCAAAGGCTTATCAGCTTGGACAAACAAAGCTATCACTCATTTCGGGATGGAAAATATCCAATTCCAAACGATGATATTGAAGAAAAACCGCGAAGAAACGAAGCATGCGATGGTCATGGAGCTCACTGATGGCAAGCTGTTCCATGCTTCTATAGGCGACTCGTCCAGCAAGATTATTGATTCCGGCACGGGCACCGGTAAGTTTTATCTCAGGCCTTGGGCGGACTTAAAGGCGGCATCCGTAGATATCGCACAGAAATTCTGAACGACTTTACAGGCATATGGGCAATGGAAGGTAGGTAACACTCATCCTGAAGCCAATGACCAATAAAGCCTGAAGATTGACAATTACAAGTTGGGGGTCACTACCCTTCCGCCGAGGTTACTGGCGTAGACTTATCGCCGATTCAGCCAAGCTGGTACGCCCACTGAGTCATCTTATGGCCATGATATCCTGATTTAGCGTATAGGGTGCCTTCCAACGTTCGCTTCTTCGTCGATGATGTTGATGATGACTGCCTGGCGAAATGGGGTCTCTAAACTGGAGGGTGTTGTCGCTGACAATGAGCGATATTCCTTAGTCTGGAGATGATTTCGATCTCATAATATGCGAAACTTGGCATCTCTTGTGCATGATCTCCCAAAATTCTTGGAGCGAGTTTTCGAGTAAGTTCGAAGTTGTGCTTCCACCCTCGACAATTGGGTATCAAATCCAGTGCAACATCGTGCTCATGAAACACACTTTCTGAAATCTCAAGGCTGGAGCTTACGTCGAAACCCAAGACTTCGGCGCCAATGTGAAGAGCGATGACGGAACCATGCCCCAAAACTGGCCTTTGTTGGAATCCTGGTCCAAAATCCGCGACGCCATGCACAAAATGAAGATTGGCATCCAAGTCGCTCCGCGCATCGGTGCGATTATGAAAGACGCCGGCTTCGTCAACGTTCAAGTGAGATTATACAAAGTGCCGGTTGGAAGATGGCCTCTCGATAAGATCAAGCGTCTGGTTGGACATCACATGCGCACTGTGACGGAGGATTTTCTGGGCGCCGCTGCGAGCAAACCTTTGGCGGCTCTGGGAATGGAACGGACGGAGATCGAGGTATTTCTCGCGTCAGTTCGGAGTGCGATCAAGGATCCAAATTCGCATGCGTATGGCACGTATTATTCTCGGGTTGGACAGAAGCCCGTGGAGTCGGGTTCTAAGTGAACAGGAAGCTCGATTCTACACTGAGGGTTATCTTGAATCTAGATTCGCATGGAGAATGGGGCAACACTGGTTCCCTAGCATTGGAAGAACATGTAATTACAAATACCCACACCATCGATCGAATTCATCATCCGTGTTCACAGCAATCCGAAAAGGTTCTAGACCACCTGCGAGGCGCCTCGGCCACATCGGTCAGTGAGCTATCGACAGGTCTCATGCGACCAAAAAAAGCTGCCCACGTAGATGGGCATCAAAATGAAAGGGACGAGACTCGAACTCGCGCGGGTTGCCCCACCAGGAAACAGATGTTAAGCTGACCTTAACCTGGCGCCATAACCAACTCGGCCACCCTTCCGTGATGTAGATCCTCGGAGACCCGAGAACCTGGAAGTGGATGCTCGATTTCCGGCACCGCAATTGTTAAGATTGCAGGTAGAAGAGTGCACGTGCTAGTGTGGACATGATCACGAGCCGAACTCGCTTCACAAGTTCACGATGTTTTGAGTTGTGGGCTGTGGGTTGTGGATATATCGACGCTAAGAACCCTGGCAGTGATAATTTCTTGCGGGCCCAAGGAACTCAAAGATACTCACGTTAGCGCGAAGACTGGAGAACAACAAAATTGGCCAGACGGTCCCAGACCCGGGGAACCGATGTCTTTTCGGTATCGTGGAGGCAGCCGAAATATCAACAAAATCTTTTTCATCGGGTCAACCCCATATCTGGAATATGTCTAACCTAGGTAGCGTGTATCCCCACGATCCAACCCCACCAGTCACAGCATCGTTCAGTTTACGCGAAGTTCAAACCTAAAGTTGATGTGAGCTAACGTACGGATACATTGGCTCTTTGGAATACCCCGGTGAAAGACTGACAACGTGGTCTCTGCACCAAATATGCCGTCCTGCAGGACAATTGGTGCACCGTGACCAGCAATGCGGATCTCGGCATCTCACATGACACCTCACGGAGAAAAATATGCCAATCAAGAGGGCATGTAATATCTGTCTGACATATGCTGTCGTGAACTAGAAGAGGGGTAGAGCGCTGTTACACAGATTGCAGGAGAAACCTCGTCACGGGACCATTCAGGTGTATGTGAATAGCCATCTTCTTTTTCGGGCAAATGCAAGATCAAACATACGCGTAACAACTGCACGTGATTTCACTGTGCTTCAAAGCCTTGAACTCCATCATGATCGGCTGAGATCCCGCATCGAAAGCTGGTAGTTCCCCACATTGCTCACCCTAATACTATTGTCAGAATCAATGTCTTCAGACATCGTCCTCGAGCCTGTACACAGTACATCTTTCCCAACCTAGATCTAATAGTGGCGGCTATTTCGACACAAGTGCAAGGGATTCCAATCGTTTTGAAGATCAGCGCGAACCAAAGTGTTGGGTCGAGCCATCCTCGACTCATTTCCTAGGAGCCGTCCAGCCAACTTATCGCGGCTGTCTGTAAACGGGCGCGTCCTGCAACCGAGCCAATTCCAGACCTTTGTAGAGTTCCCAACAAGAAGTTTATCAACATGAAGCTGAAATCACCGTGGTTTAGCGCGACCATGGCATGACATTCATCGACGCCGTGATCATCCCCGGTGCCACGTTGCTGGTATCGCCCGAAAGGGCACGATTGTCCGTAAGGCGATATCCGCAAACGCGTTCCAGCCTCTCTACTTGGATTTCCATTGGCCCCTTTACTGTTGGAAAATTGGTAATATCGCCAAGTTGGGTGACACCTTGGCCATCATTGGCTCGGTTGACACCAACGTGAAGTAACCCTTGCCGGTTTCCCGGGAACCTCGAGCGCGCAAGGCGACTCAGCTCGAAGTCCGGGCGGCTTCCAAATGTCAGGCTGGTTCGTCCGCCTCGTGTCTTTTGAGAAAACCTGATTAAGCTATTGGGTCTTTGTCTTTGCCCCGGACCCGTGGAGACGGATCTCGCAGCTGGGTGGAACGGGTGTGCATTTTGACTGCATTGGACGCTAATTTCGCGGAGAACTAGCGCTTGGTTGCTGACATGGACCATGGTTTGAGACCACGTTGACACATTCAGCTGTAGAAGCGAAGGGAAATCACTGGGGAATATTGAAGAGAGAGAACTGGATCTGCGGTTCGTTGTCCATTTGCATCTGCAGCGGCTACCAAACAGCTTGAATGCTCGGTGGGAAGCGGCCCAGTGTTGACCGAGATACCGAAGAGGGGGGCGGCTGAACCCGTATTTCGCGACGCGATGCGGCGGCGTTCCTACAGGCGGCTACGCCTTTCCCCATCTCGGCGGTCTAACGGGTGTGCTACGACGCGCCCTAATGAGAGCCGATGATGGAGGGTGGAAGACGTCGAGAAACTACTTAGTTTAACAACTCGCCGTTTCAGTAAGTGGCCGCCGCGGTCACATGGGGGAGCTAAGGAGCCGCGTCCATCCAAGCAGCCAAGCAAGTTAAGCAACGCGGCGTACTGGGGAAGTCAGGAAACTAACCCCAAGAGCGAAAAGAGCCCCGAGTTTGTGACAAGGCCCCCGTTGGTGAAAGGGCCGATGGGATAAGTTTGCCGGACCCTGACTAGTGTCCCTAACTGGTCCAACTGCGCCGTTTCTCCAAAAACCTTGAGCAACCTCCCACCCCCATTGGAGCGCGTCGGCGCATAGGAGAATATCTGACCGGGCTCGGTTCATCATCAGCCGATATTCGATCCCCCCAGAGTGTCACCCGCCCGTCTTCCCCATTCCCCAGGCTCATGTGGGAACGGGTCTATGGACCAATGCGGGGGGCGGGGTTGAGGACGTTTGGGGAACCCCAATATGCCCAGATTGCGCTTGTGAGGATTCCTTGTGGGATTCAGATCCCCGTCCACCTTTTTTCATACGTTCGCGTTGGTTCAAGTTGCGCTAGCGTAATGACACCCGACTGGGGTTAACTCTTGAGACAATGTTCCATTGGACATGTAAGAAAACGAGAACTGGGGAGTAAGACAAGACCTTTATTAAACAGCCTGCCCAGTACCACCCTCTCTCTCTTGGCTTTCGTCTCTTCTCTGTTCTTGCTTGCTCGCGTTCCCCCGTCCCCCTCCTCCACCTCATCAAGCAACCCGGCCAAACAACCTCCAACTCCAAATTCTCGGTGAGGTTTCCAAAGAGAGTCTGCAAACATGAGCACCACACTCGACTCCAAGTCCGACCCGGCAAAGGTCGAGGCCTACGGCGACATTGACCATGTCGCCGACCTCGACGAGAAGGCGTTGCCCGCCTCCTACAAGGCCGATGCCATCGAGGCTGAGCAGGCCGAGCACAACATGGGAGTCTTGGAGGCCGTCAAGGCCTACCCCATGGCCTCCCTCTGGGCTTTCATCATGTCTACCACAATTGTAAGTCGCTCTAACTACCTTGGCATATTCCACGCATACGAGGCGACTGGCAACTAATCACATTGGTTTCCCAGATTATGGAGTCCTACTGCGTCTTCCTGATGGGTGCTTTCGTCGCCATGGACGAGTTCAAGGACACATATGGTGTCGACACGAGCGAGGGCAAGGCGATCGAGGCGTCATGGCAATCCGCCCTTCAGATGGGTGGTCCTCTTGGCGCCATCATCGGTGTCTGCATCGCCGGTCCCATCACCAGTCGCATCGGATACCGCTGGGCTACCATCTCTGGCCTCATGCTCCTCAACGCCTTCATCTTCGTCTTCTACTTCGCCAACTCGCTCGCCGTCATGTTCGTCAGCCAACTTCTCGAGGGTATTCCCTGGGGTATCTTCATCGCCAACGCCCCCGCATACTGCTCTGAGATCGTGCCCATGCGCCTGAGAGCTCCCGCCACACAGATGCTTCAGATGTTCTGGGCTATTGGTGCCATCATCGTCGGTGGTGTCTGCTATGTCTACGAGAGCAAGAGAGACCCCAGCGCGTACAGAGTCCCGATTGCCCTCCAGTGGATGTTCCCCACGCCCCTTGCCATCCTTCTGTTCCTCGCTCCCGAGTCTCCTTGGTGGTTGGTTCGTAAGGGACGTCTCGAGGAGGCTGCTGTCTCGGTCCGTCGTCTTGGTCGTTCATCTGCCGTTGCCAACGTTGAGGAGTCCGTCGCCATGATGCGTCGTACCATTGAGCTTGAGAAGGACGTCAAGGATCCCAGCTACATTGAGCTTTTCAAGGGCACCGATAGATACCGCACCCTTATTGTCTGTGGTGTCTACGCCGCACAGAACCTTACTGGTAACCTCATCGCCAACCAGGCTGTTTACTTCTTCAGACGTAAGTTTTCATAACCTCTCTCTTTCTAAAGGTGTATGGAGGCTAACACACAAGCAGAGGCCGGTATTGGCTCCCAGCTTGCCTTCGCCCTCGGTCTCATCACCTCCGCCCTCCAGACCGTCTTCGTCATGCTTTCCTGGGTTCTCACAACCTACCTCGGCCGCCGCACCATCTACGTCTGGGGTTCGCTCATCAACGTTGTCTTCCTCATTGCCCTCGGTATTGCTGGCTCCGTCGGCAAGTCCACTGCCGCCTCCTTGGCGATGGCCTCTTTGGGTCTTATTGTCTCCGTCGGTTTCACTCTTGGACCCGCCCCCGCCTCGTGGGTCATCATCGCCGAGACATCCTCCATTCGCCTTCGTCCTTTGACCACTGGAATCGGCCGTGCCGCTTACTACGTCGTCAACATTCCCTGCATCTTCCTCGCCACCTACATGCTTAACCCCACCGTAAGTCCCCCCCCCTCTTTCTCTCTCTCTCTCTCTCACACACACACACACACATTTCGTAAGGAGAATTACATTTACTCACACACGCAATAGGGTGTCAACTTGGGCGGCAAGTGCGGTTACGTCTGGGGCGCCACTGGTTTCGTCTGCTTCGTCCTCGCTTTCTTCTTCGTGCCTGAGATGAAGGGCCGTTCCTTCCGCGAGATCGACATTATGTTCAAGCGCAAGATCCCCGCCCGCCAGTGGAAGAAGACCGTCATCGACATCAACGATGACGAGTAGATGCGCACTCATTACAGCTTATAATAATGGGATCAGGTTCTACTAAGCCTGAAGTCCTTTCGCTTAGTGAGAAGTAATGCGGTCAGCGCGGGATGGCTCTAATAAGATTGTGCCGTGACGAAGAGGGTACAAAAAGGGGAAGAGGTGAATGGGAAATGATTTGAAGAGTATATGAGACTCCGGCCAGATATCTGAATATTATCAGCAGCTTGGCCCTATATCTACTTGTGCCCGATCTACATGAACTGTCAAGTGTGTCCGTGATTCATCGCGCTGAATGCCAAATGTACCTTATATATTGCCAGTACGATCAACCGAAAGTGAACCTGCAATGCGCCAGCTGAGTCAATGGCAGTAGGCCGCAAGGATAGCAAGGTTGTAGGCAAGATCTAGAGTCAGGTCGCAACTCAGTGTACCACTAGCAACGTGGTGACTGATAGCCCCTTTCTCTCGGATAAATAGAAGGTCATTTCATACGTGTATGCTGGAAGCGACTCTCGATATTGTTGATGTATCCTAACCAGCTTTTACTGGACCCACACGCACCCGTCCACTCCTCTCTGAACGACTAACACAGACGAGGTTATTTGAGCCTCTTACCTCATTCTCGACATGACCGTCGCTCGCGTCTGTCGCCCCCTCTAGGATCCACGCCGTCTCATCAGACACAATCTGCGCCACGCCCTGCCAATAATTTCCTTGACTAGAGTACTGACTCTGTACCATGAAAACAAGTACCACGGCAAGACCACACGCCATGTTCAGAGCCATAACGCCAAAGATGATGAGCAGACCCCGAAGGCTCCTTGGCGTCATCACGCGCACCGACGAAGTCAAGATGGCGTTGCCCTGGACGTCGAACTGCGGAAGGGCTTCGTTGATGATAGAGCCTGAGAGAGCCGTTAGAGTCGACTGCATCGCCACGCCGGGACGACTGGTGACGTTAAGGATGTCGGCGAAGATGGCCTGGTACTCGACGTGCGGCTTGATGGGAGAGTTCCCGCTGCCTTGGGGATCCATGAACAGGGAAAAATTGAATGTTCGCGGCGAGTTGTATAAGTCGTTGATGAGCTTGTTGGTTAGGTATTGCGTTGCGTTTAGGTGGTGGGGGTTTTGCACCGAGTCCACCGAAAAGATCCCGCGACTGTTGGTGCTTTTGCTGTGGGCTCCAACACCCATGAGTTTCTGAATTCTCTTCGTGTTCCAAGCCTTCGTCTCTGGAGTCCAAGTTACTTGCGACTCTTCCAGGTCCTTCTTGCTGGAAAGCTTGACTTCCGCAAAGTTGAAGGCTAACTGCTGGAAGCAGAGCGACATGTCCAGCCGCAACACGCCCGTCTCGATTCTTTCCCCTCCTTGAAGCCTTCCCCCAATGGCACGATTGTATGTGAGCCATTCATCACCAGTAGAAGTAACATTTGTCAGACCGAATGTCCCCGCCAGGACACGATTGCCCGGTCCTTTCCACAGATCATGGGTGCCGTTATTTCTGAAAAATAGAAAGACCTGGGAGTACGCGGTGATGGGGTCTTCTGAGATGGTGTGGTTCTGAGCGCTCGGCCGCGCGGCTGTGCCATTGGGAATGCACAAGCTGTTCGTGAAGCCCTGCCGTGCTTGCGTTTCAGTGTATTGAAACTGAGATAGCGAGCAGTTGAAACCTGACGGAAAACAATCCCCGTTTTCACAGTTTTCTGGTGGTGATAGTCCCGCCTCGCGGAACATGGTCTCGTATGATAAAGTGCCCGCGACCTTTAGGTAGAAAGGGACAGTATCTGAGCCCGGTGCTGGAACAGTCACCGAGAGGAAGGCGGACACCGATGGACGGAGACATACAAAGCGCGACTCGAAGCCGTAAGCACCGCCGGTGTATTGACGCAGCGTCGACATTTGCGATGATGAGAGGGGCAAAAAGGTTCTTCTTACAATCCCGGTATCGCTGAACCTCGACTGATTATCTGTATATGTGTTTGCCTCTGATGGCAACTCGCCGAATGGCAAATATGCTGTCGGACGACTGATCCAGTTGTTCATCTGTCGATTCAGGGAGATGACATCGTGGCTCATATGCACATTGAATGTCTTTGCTTTGGCATCGCCGACAAGATTATCCATAGCCAGATCAGATACCAGAAGAGTCGACGAGAACTGAACAACAAACGTCGTGAGCAATAGCAGGATTGCTAACCCGGTCTGCAAGTGTGCTTTGCGCGCAGACGTCATGAGCAACCAAGTCAATTGGAACGGCCCGTCGTTTGTACACCGGATGATAGACATCTCAGCAACTCGAAAGAGAGCAA